GCTGCTGCGCCGAGTTAGCGCTGCCTTAAAAGAAATTTTGGGCGCTTTAATAGCGTCATCCATGCACATGGGTTCGGTGTTAATTTCAGCGATAGTCTCACTGATTACAACATCTTGATCGTCCTCGGAGGAACTGTCGTAGGGCACGTAATTCTTGTTTTGTAATGAACCCTTGCGTCCGCTAAAACGGCTTCTTGCGTAAGCATAGAGCTGCAATACAAAACAAGTAACATCCTGGAGTTAAAGAGTGCTATGGTTCTGAGCTTACCGAGCTATTAGATGGCACCATTTCCGGTTCGATTTCACTCTCACTCTCCGTTTCAGATATTTCGGGTATCTCATCCGTATCATTTTCGAAAGACTCGTTCGCGTATCGGTCTTCATCTGAATTCAATTCATCAGACATGGTCGCTGAATTTAAAAATACTCAATTTGTCAATATTTTCGCTGTTTATTTATTTAAATTAAGTAAACAGAAAGTGTCAGTCTTTGATCTATGGTTGCTGACAAATTAGAAAATTGTTTGAGAACAAGTGCAAATGAAGTTTTTTTTTGTGATTATTAATAATAATTTTGACAATTTTTACATAGTGGATTTGAAAGGCAGGTCTACCTGCTATGCTTACATGTGTGTGTACTGAAGTTGCCGGCTTGTAAATAAATGCATGCAAGCTAGCTCGCTGCTGCCAAAAGTAAGTGGCTGACTAACGGTGTTACTAGCAAATAAATGGAGGCGTGATGTAGGTTAGCGTAGTAATAATAATGGTTCTTTATTATAGTTTTGAGCCCCGCCGCCGTTTGGTGGTGGTTAGGTCAGGTGTTCTTTTTTGTTGTTTTCCAACCACATATAAAGTACCACCACCAAACTTATGGGTAAAACGGGTATATTAAATATATTTGAAGAATACAAATAAAAGAAGGGAATTATTACACTTGTGCATACACATACATATTAACATATAATATATATACCCACATCAGTTGTTCGATTTCGTATCGACGACTCTCAATTAATGTGAGTATGGGCAAGTGCGGCATTCAAAGATAGTATTTTTATATGACTGTGTTTATGTACATACATATATCCATATACAAGTATTCTTTATGCATATTTAAAAGTTTGTAGATCCATGTGTCCTTTTTTTATAGTAGAGGGAAGCATCGAAAGCCGAAGTGCACATATGTATTTGTATGTACATGCATATGTGTGCATTTAAATATAGCAATCACACCAAGTTTGATAATCTAATGTTTACCAAAATATTGAACAGCACAGGATATGTACTGTTGTATACGAGTACGTGTTCACACGTTGTCTGGGCAACACTTTGCACTTGCGCATTGGACAGTAAACAATGTCATGAAACAATCATAATAATTAGCTATCACATAAGCCCCAAGAAGGTGTCCTTACAGTCGAATAATAACACTAAAATAAAACTATTAATTATTTTACATTTTTTTTTTGCAATATCTGAAACGGCTACGTCTTCAATTCATTGCGTTTTTTTAGTTTTCCATCTTTCTAGCGGTTTATGGATCCAAAAAAGAGTTGGGAGACGGCAAACAATGAAGCAAGCCAATTTTTGATACCCTGTTCTGATGTGAACCGTATTTCATTGATGGCGGTTCTGCATCGACGGGAACAAATAGTAAGCAAATATCCACTCTTCAAATACCCGATGTGTGGAAAGTCGGAAGAGTGGTCCCACTACTGAAACCTGGGAAACCCGCCAACAAAGGGGAGTCTTATCGCCCGATAACTCTGCTTTCCCCAGTAGTGAAGACACTTGAGGCCTTGTTACTCCCGTCATTCACCCACCACCTGAGCCTAGCAGACCATCAGCATGGTTTCCGTAAAGTGCACAGTACCACCACAGCACTTAGCGTCATAAACGCCCAGATAGTTCATGGCCTGAACCAGAAGCCACCCTGCGAGAGGACGATCCTCGTAGCGTTGGACTTGTCAAAAGCTTTTGACACAGGCAATCACGCAACGCTACTTGAGGACCTGGAACAATCAACGCTCCCTCCAGGGTTGAAGCGGTGGACCATGAACTACCTGAGCGGTCGACACTCATCCGTACTATTTCGAGGTCAAAACTCCAAACTCAGGAAAATTAAACAGGGGGTTCCGCAGGGTGGTGTCCTCTCCCCGTTACTGTTTAATTTCTACATTTCGAAACTCCCCCAGCCACCAGCGGGAATTTGTATTTGATGACTGTACGATATTGACGTCGGGCAATGGAATCGATGGCATGTGTTCAAAAGTAAACGGCTACCTCTCCGATCTTTCTCGCTTCTTTTCTGCAAGGAACTTAACACTCTCCCCCACTAAATCCACAGCGACCATCTTCACCAATTGGACGAAGGAGTACAGACTGGACCTGAACATTTCAGTCGATGGCACAAAAATTCCGACAGTAAATAACCCTAAAATTTTAGGCGTCACTTTGGACAGTCTGTGCTCTTTCACTCCTCACACGACCGCGATAACTGCAAAGTACAGAGCCGCAACAAAATCCTCAAGTCGCTTGCCGGCAGCTCATGGGGAAAGGACAAAGAAACGTTGTTGGCAACATACAAGGCAATCGGCCGGCCGGTCCTCAATTATGCAGCCGCAATATGGTCGCCTGGATGTAGTGACATGCAGAATAAGAAGCTCCAGACTTGTCAGAACACTGCACTCCGGACTATCACGGGGTGCCTCTTGATGTCCCCAATCGAACACCTACACAGTGAGGCCCGTATGCTTCCGGTTAAGGAACATAATGAGCTCCTCTCCAAGCAGTTTCTGCTGGGATGTTTTCGCAGAAACCACCCCTGCAGACGCCTGCTTGCAGCGGAGCAGCCTCCTAGGAACATCAAGAGGTCCTTCCTTGACTACGTCGACGACATCAGACAGCACGTCGACCAGACTTCGGACGCAACTAACTTCAGACAAGCACTGACCGCCATTCACAGTGGAGCCATTAACACCTTCACCGACTCCCTTTCAGTGAATGGCGTAATACGAGTCAAACCACCACCCATTGCAGACACAGAGCTCGAGTTGCCTCGCGAATCTAGAGTGACCCTCGCGCAACTTCGTTCTGGATACTGTAGCAGGTTAAACTCCTACCTATCCAGAATAGACCCCGACATACTAAACACATGTCCTGCATGCAATGAGTCTCCGCATGACACTAACCACCTCTTTGCATGCCCTACAAACCCCACTCATCTAACACCCCTTTCCCTATGGTCCGACCCCGTCGAAACAGCTCGTTTCCTGGGCCTTCCGTTAGATGACCTCGACGACAACGAATCTAGAATTTATCACCCAAACGGGGATTAGATAATCGTTATAACAACAACAACAAGTAAGCAAAAGGAGCAAGGCCCGGCTAAAGGGCGAGTGAGGCAAAACTTTCCAGCCACTGTTTTCCAAATAGCTGTTAACTAATCTTGCATTGGGTCTAACGGGTCTAGACACAAATTCCGAGCGTTTTTCGGCAATCAGTCACTTCAATTTGACGATTTATTGTTGAAGCGTTCTCCATTAATAGTCTAATCTGGTTTTAGAAGCTCTGATCATTACCTTGTCATCATTAATATTCGGCTTTGCCGTTAAGTTGGCTGGTTGGTCAGGTTTGGCATACGATTTTTTGCGTTTGGGGTAGTCGTAACGGATCCATTTTTCGTCACCAGTTACAATCCGATGCAAATCCGACTTATTTTTATTGTACAAGTATTCATTTCTGACATAAAAATCGTCTCAACGTCTCTTGGCTTCAATTCATATGGCACCCAATTTCCTTGCTTTTGAATGTATCTGGCTACGTTTAAACGTTTTGAAATGGCTGTTTGAGTGACTCTCAAAGATTCTAGGAGCTTTTTATGCGTTTAGCAACAACCGTCATCGAGTAATGCTTCCAGTTTCTCTCTTCTCTTTAAACGTTTTTGGCCGCCTAAGACGCAAAAATACTTTTTCAAGCACAAACTTTGTCATATTTGAGTGACAAATTAGCAATGTTGTTTACGCTTCAATATATAAATATGGTGTACATTCAAAACAATTTAACCAGCACTCCGCACTCGAGGGAAATTATCATTGCTTCTAGATATCGAATTTATTACAATCAATTGAATGTTCTTACAACTTCCTCTTTTTTTGTACATATAGTTAACGCGTCCATCTGGCTCTTCTACAACTCTTTGCTCGATAATAAATTACTGTTTGGGTCATTTGGATCACCAACGTGTGCACTAAGCAATGAACTGAATGGTTGTCAACTTGACTGATATCCACCATTCCACTAAAAAGTGATTATTAATAGTAACAGCGTGGAATAAATAATTGATTTCCTCTGGCTAATCAATGATATCACTTAATTAAAAAAGTATAACAGAGTATTTGATTGAAAAAGTACGAGCATTTTAAGGCGAGTTCATTTTTCGGTGGCAGAAACATAAATTGAAGCGTTAATTAGAAATCAGCGCCCTGACAGAGTTGGCGAACTTAAAAATTGTCATGTCTTTGTACCCAAATATGATCCGAAATGTGTGATAAATTGCCCAATGTGAGCGCTAGCATTCTAGAACAATAGTCAGTAGTGTTGCGTTCTTACCAACAGACTAAGTGTTTAAAATACTAGCGGTATACTGAACCTGTATACCATAAGGGAGCAAGTCGAGGTTACTTCTCCTAGTTGTCAGACCATTTACGATGTAGGGCAAGGAAAAATTGAGTTTTACCTAAATTTACTAAGCGCAAATAATAAAATTCCTATAAAAATTAATAATATTCAAATAGTTTCGAATTCGCTAGAAATTGCGGCTTTTAGCTGTTGTCCAACCGCAGCCAACTTCATGTGTAAATATTGCCTGGTGAACAACAACAACTGCACAATTAAGAGCGAGAGTGTGCTCACAGCTCCTATTGGAGTTTGCGCAAACATGAACTTTGACTTTGATTCTTGACGGATACGGTGGTTGTTGAGAGAGCGGTCGAACGACAAGCAGGAACACAACGAAACCATTAACAATACTGGCGCTAAGTGCCCACAGTGCGTATGTGGAATACAAGAGAGCGAAAGCGTCTAGTAGCCAACGGAGGCGAACGCTACTTCAATCGGCCGAGAAGACTCGTAGCGTGAAGGTGCTGCTGGTGAAATCGCGCGCGTTCACCACCAAAAATAAGAAGAAATGACAGGAAGATATTTTGTTACATATTTTGTTAAAAAAATATACATATTTACTACAACGGTAGCACATTAGTGACTTGTGGCGAAGGAAGTGGCTGCATTTATTAAGAAATTCGTGTGAATAATTACATAAAAAGTGGAAAGTGTTGTGAAAAAAATCTAAACAGAAATTATTAGTAATTATTTAAGAGGCTAAAGAAGTGCTGGAAATCTTTAAGAGTTTGGTGGAATTCACGCGGTATGCCAAATGAAAAATGGCTTTTGTGAAAATGTGGGTGATTCGTGTAAAATGTCGTTGCTTAAATTGTTAAATCAATATAAGCGGTGCGAATCGGGCTGAGCTGAGCTGTACGGTGCGTGTTGTGTTGGTCGTAACTAAATAATAATTCAATTGAGGTGAAGTTGTCGCATGCAACTTTGAGAGGGCAAATGTGAAGCAACAAACTCGCTTTCAGCGCCTAATTAAACTATACACACACACAGATGCACACAAATGTGCATACTGCTAGAGCAGCCCTTGTGTGCGTGAAGTTCGCGCATTCACAAATAAATACAAGTATGTGCGTTTTGTTTGGTGTGGCCGTGTGTACTAGGTCATTGGCAGCGCCAGCGACAACTCTCAACTCTGTACGAACATACACACATATTCCACTATCCAAAATGTAAAAAAAAGTCTAGGAATAATGAAAAGTGAAAATGACCGCAATAACACTACATAAAGCCCCAAAAGATTATAATAATTCGCGAGACAGTGTTCATGTCTTCAGCGAGCGGCGGGTGGGCGGCAGATCGGACGCGCGCTCTAAATCAGCGCACACCCAAAACAAAAAGAAAGCTCACTAATGGCATACACATACATATACACGTGTGGGCATATACATATGCCGCAAAACAAGCAGAAGTGTCGGAATAATGCAGAGCAAACGCCGAGTGCTAGAATATATTAATTTGGCACAACATGGCGTATGAGCAACCAAAACCAAACCGACAGAAGCATGTTGAGGCCAAAGTGAGTGTCAGCGAAAGTCAGTGTTGACTGCAGATCATAAAAAAGTCGCAACCCAAGCCTGAAAAGGCATAGCGCATGCATGTGTTTGGAGCGAGACCGCCTGCCGTCCGCAAAAGGATTGTGGCGTGTGCACATCTAATAACATCGAAATTAGTAAAGCCCGAAAACGACAACACAAAAGCACATATTTATTGCATAGTCGCATTTTTTACTACGCCATTTTTCTATCACATTTGTATTACTCCACGAATATGTCTTTTGTTTGCCAGTTGAGCTGTTGCTTTAGCAGAAACTGCCTACAGTAAAGTCGGTCTGCGTGTTTGCAAAACTGTTGCTTATGACCTCTATCGAGTTTCGTGTCTTTCTAACTTGCTTTCAGTTACTCGCGCGCGTATGCAATGCAAAAATAGGTTAGGACGAGCGTAATATATTCTAGAGACAATGCTTAATGTGCAATAAGCAGGATCAATCTTGTACAAATCCAGAAGCAATGTGAAAAATTCGAGTTATCGCGGTAAAAGTGGGAGTACCATAGAAATACATGCCTTTAAGAACTGAACCACTATTTGCTTTGCAAGATGTTTACCACATGGAGGGTTCTCCTCATTTGCATTCAGGTCACGCAATGAACAAAGTGAACTCAATACCACAAAAGGCATTTCCAATCTTTGTACAAAATATAATACCGACATAAATATTTTAAAAGTAAATATTTAAATAGTTACTCTAATAAAAAAAAAGTCATGTGAATCCTTCTTACAATTTTTACTTAACGCTCTGTAGCCTTTTATCATAATTGCATTTAACTAAGAATAATGGCTTTGCTAAAATTACCCAGCATTTTTTAGTCTACCGCTTTTGAAGTAAGTTCGCTCAGCTCGTGCGGCAGATGACCTTAATCCGGCGTCGGCACTTTGTATGCTCAATGGCGCATAACAAATGCGGCTCATAAAGGCACGTCTTCTGCGTCAGGCAGCCGTGGTGGCACGAAGCCTTTTTCATTCGAAGTTTAAATTGGATAACAGGGAAAAGGGGTGCAGCAGACCAAAGAGAAATTTTAAATTAGCTGCAATTTGAGGGTGAAGAATTTCGCGGTGCAGAGCAGTTGAAAAGTATGTAGTCAAGCTGAAATTTTTGTATAAGAGAGCGTTATGCGTTGAAGACTCAAACTTACAAAAGCTAACTTCATGAAAAAATTGTAACCTTTTAAGCTTAGTGTTTGTTGACTTTGATTTTTTGTGTTTTGTCCATGCATTTTTCAACTTAGAAGTAGTGCACCCGAAATTCAGCTATGTGTTAGTGCATAAGCTGATTAGTACACATCAGTTACTACACGTGCACCACGAAATCCACTGTCGAAATTTGCACAGTCTCTAAATCGTAGAATCCGATTACTCATTACTCAGGGTTTGGTTAGATTAACTGCTTCCTTAAGGGCAGGCACTCTTGCTAGAAAGACGCTGAGCTAATGTGGATGGCTAGTTACCTTTTCAGTAAGTTGAAAAAGTTATAAAACTAGGTGCCTGTTCATTAGAACGAAAAATATGGTCACGAGCTTCAGGCTTCTTTAAAATGATTTCTAATACAATTCCTGGCGAGAGAAGCTCGCAAGTATTCTCATTTCCAATTGTTTTTGAGCGAATTGTGGGCATCGGTGCAGGACTAGGCCCTAATTTATTCGGTTCATACTGGTACGCTAGCCAGCCAATGCGCTAATGGCATACAAAAATACTCAGCCGACTATGATGCAGGCGGCACGCCACCAGTTGTTAACCACATCATTAAAGCGCATAATGATCAAATGAGCTAGGAAAATTAGTTAAACAAGCATCATTGCTGTCTGCCCTCAACATACGGCAGCCAGTACAAATGAAAAAACCAAACACTAATACATACGCACATACCAGCAAATTAGCGCACTCACACTCCAAACCATACACCCACACGTCGCAAATATCAAGTGTTCGTAATCAGGCGCTTGAATAAAACGCGTCGAAACGCGCGCCACACATATGCAACGTGGTTTTGTGCGGCATGTTGCAAGCTATAGCAATTTAATGATGTGGCGCCATGATACTTGGTGAGCTTTTCCTTTCCACAATTGCCGTTGTTTGCAAATATGCCACGTCGCACTCACTTACTTACCACAATAATCGTTACACTGCCATTGCCATCGCGCATCTCGTGCTTATCATAGGCGCGCGTAAGAAATTAACCACGTTGCACGTTGGAAAGGTTTTATGAAAGCTACGCATTTATGTAGTTGCTCTCACGTGAAGGTGAAAGTGTCCTTTGTGCGTAATGAGTTTGTTGCGGCGCGACAAACACCGATCAACAAAGCCACTCAGCCAGCCAGCTCGTGCACCGCCGTTGTGTAATTGCGTAACTCAATAACACCAACGAAGAGTATCGTTGACTATCAATTTGTGCCTTTTTCGTAGCAGTCGCACTCGAGGTAATGTCATTTACCGCAACGTTCGGAGCAAGATCCTCCAAAGATGTCAACGCGAACATTTGTGCAAACGAGTTAAAGTGTCGCAATTTGTTGTTGGCCCATTATAAGTACTTATAAAAAAGCGCAGTGTCGCGAACGGCACCTCGTACGGTACTCGTAACGTAATTTAAAAGTTATTGTGGCCGGCGCCCGTTGTCCCAGTTCAGTTAGCGAGGCAAGGCAATTGACGCCACCAACGCTTGTCGGTACTCATTGTTGTGGTTACTATGCACGTTACACATACTGCAAGGGATGGGTGTCAAACTTTAAGCAACAACAGCAGCAACGACAGCGACAACACGCGCAAAAATAGCGCGAACAATCATTTAAGCAGTCAACTGAAAAATAACAACGATAGTTGTTGTAAAAATAGCAACACAAACGACATTAATAAACGTTGCAACACGACGAGTGACGGCTGCAATACACAACATCCGGCGGGCATTCTTCGCCACAGCTGCCACATACACAATCGCCCGCGGAACGACAATCACCCACACTTTGCGATTGATAACCTAGAAAAGCATCGATTTTTCGACGTTGACGTCGAGGCTGTACACAGTAACGGCATTTGACGCACCCGACAAGTAATAGACAGTTACCAGAGTCGAGATAGCGTAATCGACGGTATAACCAGGAGTAGCGGCGAGGCAAAAGTGCTGTTAAATAAGTGTGAACTACAGCAGCAACAAGAAAATTGTGTAATAGCAGATTCGCAAAGGTCGCCACTCTTAACACCCATATCGCCCGTGCACCTCTCGTCCTGTTTCTCTTCCACTTCCCATAGTTCCCCTTCGACGTCTTGCAGCCAATGCACTATCGTCTTTAAGGCACTGCCACCTCCGCCGTTGTCAGCATCGACGCAATCCGTAGCCTTAGGACGTACGTCGTCGCCCCCGCCAGTACCACCCATTCGTTCATCGTCGCTGTCACAGTGTTGTTCGTCGCCAACACAGTGGCAACCATATCCGCGCAATTTCTCACTGACGCTGGCAGTGTCGCCAGTCGCAAGTCATGTTAGCTGCAACAGCAGTTGCCCACGGCTCGCAACGACATCAACAGGAACAACAAAGGCGTCCACGTATAAGAGGGCGCCGTCGTTGTTCTACATCAAGCAAGCAGGCACCAATAGAACTTGCAGGTTCTGCGACAAAACCGACGAGTACGACGACCAAGACGAAGTTAACAGTCCTAATAACGGCATAATGGTCTTAAGTACAGAATGGTCTCAGGTGGAAGTTATCGATCTGATAAATGATGGTAATGGCTTGGGCTTCATATTGGTCGGTGGACGCAGCACTGGTGTTGTAATAAAGGCGTTGACGCCGGGCGGCATTGCGGAACGTGATGGTCGTTTGCAATGTGGTGATCATTTGTTGCAAATTGGCGATGTGAACTTGCGTGGCTTCAGTTCCGAGCAAGTAGCAACGGTTCTTCGTCAGACTGGAGCTCAGGTTCGACTGATTGTTGCGAGGCCGGTGGAGCCGACAGCCATCGATTTACAAACGTTGGCCAGTCATGCGCCAATTATTCCAACTAAGCTCCTCTCCGACCCAGAAGAACTGTCACGACATCTCTTTCAAAATCCCAGTTTTGCTACTAGTGCTACAGGCGTTGGAGTTGGCGGCGGCAGCGGCATGGGCGGCAGCTGCTTCCTGCCAACGCCGGACACTGAACTAGCCGATTTGCCACTGCCACCCATACCAACTGATTTACCATTATCTGCAACCGCAGCGGCGCGCGCATGTCCCAAGGACTTGGACATCGTACCATTCTCGATTGTATCACCGTCACCGCCACCCCTTTTGTCTCTACCATCCCCGCCAACCACAATAGCAACGACACTCGGCACAACGGATACATTGAGCTCACTACACCAGCAGCAATTTGACATCACCACCACCAATACAACCAACACCATCATAAATTACTCAAAAACCACTCAATTGGAACAAATTGAGACTGTGATAGCTGGCGTAGATGCCGGCACCTCAACGAATGCACCGGATGCAGCGCATATTGATGCCGATCGCTGCTCCACGGCGTCATCGAATTACATCGATTCACCCGAAACAGAAACGTATGAGGTAGAGTTGCATAAGAATGTCTACGGTCTTGGGATAACTGTAGCCGGCTATGTTTGTGAAGAAGAGGACCTTTCGGGTATATTTGTGAAAAGTATCATAGAAGGCAGTGCCGCAGAGGTGAGTGAGCGCATTCAAATCAACGATCGTATCGTTGCTGTAGACGGCCGTTCACTTGCGGGCGTTACCAACCACCAAGCGGTGGAGATACTCCGGAATACTGACATCGAAGTCCATTTGACACTGGAACGCTTCTTGCGTGGACGCAAGTATGAACATTTGCAAAATGCACTCACGGAATTGAAAGGAGACACGCAATCACAAAGTTCACTGCCTGCATCACCTTCGATAGCAACACTTTCTTGGCTGCCACCACGTTCCGATGCCGATTCTGTGGCCACTGAAGGCGGTATTGTTATGCTGGAGTTTTCTGACTTCCCATCACGCGAAACTGTTGACTCTAATATGTCATACATGCTCGATCGCAGCGATCATAGCGGCATTAGCAGTGCCAAGCGGCAAAAGACGCCAACAACGCCTACGGCGAAACACATAGCCAACGGCAAAGCAACGCATATCAATGGAAGCAATGACATTGATAGTGATGATCACGACTCAGCAACGCTGGCGCTTCAAATGCAGTCGACAGAATGGCAGGCGCCTACAATATCGGAGCCACCGGTAAAACAGCCAAATGATGGTCATAAGAAATCTGTAAGCTCCGTGACTGCAACAACTGCAGCGGCGCCGGCAACAAAAACGGCGGTGACGGTGACAACAACATTAACAGTGCCTGCGGTGGCAGCAACCACAACGATAACGGCAACAACGTTAGCCGCCAAGCCCGCCGCTTCAACCTTAGCCCCGCCCAATGTGGAGACGCTGAAGCTGACCTGGAAAAGTGAGTTTCCTGAAAGTGAAATTATTGTAGCCGAAATAAATAAACTTTCAGGTCTAGGAATCAGCCTGGAGGGCACCGTGGATGTTGAATGCGGCATTGAAAAGCGTCCACATCATTATATACGCTCTATCCTGGAAGATGGGCCTGTGGGGCGACAAGGCATACTCAAACCGGGTGACGAGCTACTGCAAGTGAACGAATATAAATTGCAAGGCCTTAAGCATACTGACGTAGTTAAGATACTGAAAGAACTGCCAACACACGTGAAGCTGATATGTGCGCGAGGTCCCACCGCACCATCCGTAATAAACACATCGCAAAATCCAGAGGCTTTCGAAACGCGCTCTCTACTACCAGGTGGCCATCAGAGCCTGCAAAATCTGCTGACCAAAGCACAATCGGAGAGTTCCCTATACACATCAAGCACTGCCACGCTGACCGACCAGCAACGTTCCAAATCATTGGAGAATGTTTCGGGTTTGGCGCTTTGGAGCAGTGACGTCACTACCATCGAAATCGAGAAATCCGAACAAGGTTTCGGTTTCTCTATACTTGACTACCAAGATCCGATGGATGCCGAAGGTACTGTAATTGTGATACGAGGTCTTATACGTGGTGGCGCAGCAGAAGCGACCAACGAGATATTTCCCGGAGATCGATTGGTCAGCGTCGGCGAACACACACTGCACGGACTCGATTTGGACGAGGCAGTGGCGATACTCAAAGGCATGCCAGTGGGAAAAACCAAATTGGGCATTTGCAGACCCCTCTCAACATCGGACAGCAATATAGCGTCGCCAGCGGAGGAGGCCGACTCGCCAAGCACATAGTTTTTAAGGAACTTTTACTGTGAGTATATGACTTGCCCATATGTTTATACTGCGTCATTGAAACATTTGATTTATACTCGTATAAATGATTTTCATTTTACTTTATGACCTTTCACTTTTTTCTACTTTCTTTTCTCAGAATTTCCAATATCTTCCATGTCTATCGCCTGCTTTTCTATTATGAAAGTGCTGCTCAACTTTCATTGACGAATGCTATAAAATGATTTACGCAAGTGTCATACTTCGTCTTATGCTACGATTTTCTTGACCCCTTTTCAATATGAGCGACAGGCGTTCTGTACTTGAGTATGACACCCATGCATACCGCTTCATTCCCGTTAGCGGGGCGCAACAGCTGTATGCCTTCTTACATACTTTGTGTATATATTTACAAACTCGGTACGAAGGTGGGCCCTTATGTGCCTGATGTTCAATTCCGAATGCACACATATGTGGCTCATCCAGGACAACGGATGCTTGTCGCTTTTATTAAAACTTTGCACCCATAAATGAGTGTGTATATATGTTTATTTCACTTCGTTCATATAGTGGGCTTAATACCCTTGGGATGTTGCACCTGCTCATTGAGCATGTAAGAGCTAGTGTTAGAAATCAGTTTGGGTGCCACTTTATTTGCTTTCACTGATTTCAATTCAGTTCAATCACATTCGTTGTACCTATTCATTTCAGGTTTAAATTATAAAGGTTCGTTGGGTATACTCATGTTATCGTTGGGTAATTCAATTTGACTTTTTTTAACCCCCTTCACTGTGTAAAAAGTTGGTTGCTGTCGATTTTTGTCCATAAGAAAACTTAAAATAGTAAGATTCAGAATTATATATTCCGTCTTACATAACTGACTGCGTTACTGAGATCATCTTCTAAAATTTGACGTATGAGCAGTCTATGAAGACAAAGCTGTTTTGTATATTTACTGATTTTAATGGCAGAATTCAATTCGTACTTGGATCGGTATTATAATATATCTGAAATGTTACAATGACTTTGGAAAAAGAGCGCTATTCAAAATATATGCATGTAAGTCTCTCTCTTAGACACGTGGGCGTGTTTGGTCTCTTTTGAAGTAAAAATATTGGTGTTATCCGAGTAATGGATCAACCTTTAAGCTTAGAACAGACTTCGACCGCGCAGAAATACACGCGAAAGTTTGCCATTGTCCACTTTGTTATTTTCCAAATATCTCTAAAATCTCCACTCAATGAAACCTAAAAAAATAAATAACATCTTTTGAAATTAAGTACAAACAAACAATTAATTGATATAAATTTAAATATTTATAGAAACTCAAAACATCAATGAATCATATCAATCAGAAAAGGTTAGTTATTTGTAAACGAATATCGAGATAAGATTACTAGTGGCCTAGATATTGACAGTTTGATTCTGATAATTTTATTGGATAAAAGATCACTGAGTTACTAAATACGAGCAACTGAATGAGTCCTAGTTGCGTATGTTTCATGCTGGAAACAGTCACCGACGTAAAACCATAGACAGAATCAGCTGATACGACCAATCTTATGAGAGCGCAATGTAAATAAACACTCACTGCTACCGTCCGTTTCTACAGACCGTACGGTAGGATATCTGCGAAAATTGGATTTTTTCCCGTAAAAACGAGTGAGCTGATTGCTTTCTTGAAACGCAGGGCTGCCAGTCTCGATATTTTGTAGTAATTAAAAAATAAACTTGAAAATATTTGAAATATACTTAAACTAACTCAAAGTCACAGTCGAATACATATATTTAAAAATAGGTAGACTATTTTTAATAGTTGGATTTTAGTTTGGAGCTTTTACATTATGAAAAATTATTCCTAATGAACTAAATGTGTCTAAAATCATGTATAAAAATTCAGCAATGGCAACATTGGTTAAATGGGATAACTTTTGACAAATTTTCTTTAATACGGGCTGAATGTCGGTGACTGTTTGAACATTAGCCACCACTGTTTATCTATACATATATGTATGTATATTTATTTATTTTTCATTTACCCTTTTATTTGTAGTTTTTCAAGTTCACTCTTGTAAAAGCCAAGCACTTGAACATTTAGTGCAAAAACCCAGTACGAGTTTCCTAGAACGCATACCTCCGAGTTCTTCCTCCATTTTTAGGTAAACATTTGCCTAATTTTTAATTGCCCATTAAATGCTTATTTGTGAACGCAAAATTAACAAAATTAAACACCAACACACAAAGCAACGTTAAGAAGTGCACATACACTCAACAAGAAAGAAGAAAAATATTCTTTATTTATTTTTGCTTATGCACAAAAAACTCTATTTTAACCGAATAAATGTTCGTATTCAAATACACACAAACTGCGATTTCAACACGCAATAAAATAAATAAAAACTAAAAAATATGGCGGCAGTAAGCGGCAAGAGAAATTTGTGCAAATCTTTGTTAGTAATTATTATATAATTAATTAAAACCATATGGCAATTTCACACGTAAACATATACATATATATATACAAATATTAATTAAATGAGTATTTCTCCTGGAGAACTCTATTTCACACAAATTTAGTAAATATCAACGTTTTCGTTTACAACAGCCAGCTATCGATAGGATGTGTGGGATTTTAGACAGATTCTGTCAAACAATGACTGGGTATATGTATAACACCTCTACCTAAAAGTTTACCCGATTTGGCGTTTTGGCATTTCGCACTTTGGATACGTCGAAACAAGAAACACTCGCAAATAAACACAACCCAAGAATACAGCGCTTTTACTAGTCCTGAAATAGTTGGGCGTCATAAATTAGCAATATGTTCGCGTGCCAAGCGTCCAAACCGCCCAGCGTGCCAGCGCCAGTTAATGTAAATTACAAAAGTTTTCCGTTTACTGAGGTAATCAAATGTCTACCAAAGAATATACATATAGAAGTATATAGATAATATACTATTTAGTATCATAAATACCGCTATTTTATAACTGTAAGTGTGTGAGAGAGACACTATAGCTCTTGAGCGGCAAGTTGCCACACAAAAAGTGTGCCGCTGGCTGCTTGCCACCAATTTGTGGAAGTGATGCCGCTGTTGTACTGTGTTTATTGCTGCTGTCGCTAGCGTCTGACTGTTGTTTACATAACGAAAATTGAAATTATTTGCAATTCGGCATTCACGACTGCCTTTTGAATTTGTATTCTACGTTCGAAATTATGGATATTTGCATTTGACGGACAGACGTGTCAGCGATTTGCATTTTGTAACATCTCAGACAAATAATCGTCCAGCTGGTCAAGGGCTACGGTAGTCACCAGGCAGCACAAATGCCAGATGTGGATGAGAAGGGGCATGGTGGGCAGGGAGGCAGAAACCCTTGTCAAATGCCGAAATTATGCTGAATAAAATATCAGCTTGGATTTGCTAAACTTGTACGCGTTTGCATATTAAAACAGAAGAAAATCGCTGTTGAGGGTGAGCAGCGCGGATGATAATGTTCGGATGATGAAAATGCTCGTGGTGATGGCACTTTGTACTACTCTTTAGCAATTGATTACAAATATGAACATGATTCTTGCAAAAAATTTTGATATTCAAATGCAAAGCAAATTACCAAAATTTATTTCTATTTCAAATCTGTTTTTACATTTAAAATGAGCTCAATGAACGGCGAAGTTTATATTTACAGTATATTCGCATTAGCATGCTAATCAAATGCAAATGCAAAGGCGATTAAATTTACCATGTTCAATATGTTTTGTTAGATTTTGTGTAATAACATAATTGTTGCAAATTTCCCGTTATATGCTTGTTTTCGTCTGTGTGAAAGCAATCAAGTGCAGCAACTGGAAAATATTATTATTCCGTCGGTTTTATGAAATTATTCGCCACATGCCTTATGTAGCTATAATGTGCGTGTTTGTATGTATTTATATGAATATTTGTATATGTGGTGCACACACATACAAGAGCACCCATACACCTTTCATACCATAAACACTAGAATAATTCAGTGAATATAAATAACGACGAAAAGCAGGTTTATAGTTGGTGCATATTTAGAAAATAAATAATTAAAAGCTTTGCTGTCATGTTATTTCACGTTGGCTGCGTTTTTTCTTGAATTTAACACAACATTAATAATTTCATTTTAAGTCGTAATAACTCGTCCATTTATACACTGATTTTGCAAAATAACTTTAAAGCTTTCACTGGTGTTTATTCAATGTGTTTTCAAAGAGTTTTAACAAATATTCAAATTAATATTCAATTAATGCACATAAATAGATTATAATAATATTTATAAACCTGCAATAAATTTGAATATATTCTTATAAATAACAAACACAAATGTAGAGCCAGAACTGGAATTATGAAATTTCACTTAAAATTGGTATGTGATAAGTCCATTGTCTAATCTATAAGATAATCCGTATTCAAACCTGCTTTCTTTTTAAAATTGTATATCATTGTATGAGTGATGTACGCGATTATTACCCAGTTTTATGCTTTTGCCTCTTGTAACCATTCAGAACTTTGAAAAAGGACTTCATCTGTAACGCCTAAACCGGTTGAAGTGTAGCGCCAAAAAACGAATTCCATTAATCGAAAACCTACGATATGCCATAACTAAGCCGCACATTTAGATACAAACCTATATTTGAGTACAGCGCTCTACTTACCATATGTCACATTTTTTAACTCCGTCTGACTCTTACACTTTACACGGGAGAATCGAGAGCCACTAACTTTATCGAATAAAAACTTTGCAAAAATAGTGAATAGTAAAAATCGGGCAATAAATTTGTAAGCCCCTCGCTACTGAATATATGGTTCCCAGTGCCTATGACTGACTTTTTACCGAAATCATCGTTCAATCTGTGAGCTCTAGTATTGAAATTCGATGAGAATTTAATATGCTAACATTATGCCTGAAATCGAGTCAATACTACTGCTAGCTCCCATTTAACTTATATAAGAATTTATAACGGTAAATATGTAAGATATCTTGGCAAAAATAACTGAACGCTTAATATAGGATA